TAATGAAAAGTATGGTTTCTTAAAAAAACAGTAATTTTATATAGCAAACTTGTTTTAACAGCCAGAACCAACAGTTCATTATATATATGCACTACATATATTATTTGTTATACATATATACATATATACTATAATTAGTATATATGTATAATAACTGATCCGATTTATAATTAGCTAAGTATTTGATATCAAGTTTGTATTTGATTATGCCGAGCACTACGTCAAGTGATGCAGCAATAAAAAGAATAACAGAGATAGCTAAGTATTTTTCTGAATTAACTTCATTATTTGATTCCCTGAAGCATTATTCTTTGTGTGAAAGGCATTATAATCAGATTGTGGCTAAAAATTTCTTTATTAACCAGTTAAGAAAAGCAAATACGATTTTTTTAGGCTCGGGTGAAACTGAGAGAAAAAGATTAAAACTTTCTAACTACGATGAATTGCAAGTTCTTGACCTATTCGAGAAAACTTTTGTCGATTTTGGCACTCAAGTTGAGAAAACTTTTGTCGATTTTGGCACTCAAGTTGAGAAATTTTTGTCGATTTTGGCACTCAAGTTGAAAAAAAACTTTTGTCGATTTTGGCACTCAAGTTGAAAAAAAAACTTTTGTCGATTTTGGCACTCAAGTTGAAAATTTTTCTGTTGATTTTGAAGCACAAGTATCTTTTCCAGATCTGACATGTTAAATTTTTTTAAGAAGAATTAAAGAATTAAAAGACCTTAATAAGCAATTGTCAACTAAAAATAGTGCACTAAAAAAAAGCGAAGTGAAAGATTTACTGACCAACAAGATCACATTGAGTCTGTGATAGAAATTGCTAAAAAGGAATGAGGAAATTTATATAATGATATAGTAAGCTTAATTCAAAACTAGGAGCGATTTCGTTTAAATAGTCTTTTAGAATATTCTCTATCTAAATGGCTTGCTGAATGCAATCCAGTCATTTTAAAGTTTATAGAAACTCTCACCTATAACGAAAATGATTATTAGCATGAAGAAGAAAAACTTTTTAAGCATGCAGTTGTGGTTGATGCTATATATGAATCAAGGCATTTAAAATATATATCTGCTATTAATTTGGCTACTTCAGCGATTAAATATTTATTAGTTAGGTTTAAAATAGTTATTGATATCGATAACCATATAATAAGCTCTGGTAGTTATAAGAAGTTTACTAATTGGTTAGAAAGTTTAGCTATAGAACAGCCACCACTCCCTAAAGGTCTTTTATTTTTGGCCTTTGACAATGAACAAAAAGGTTAAAAAAATTACTTAGACCATGAATATAATACAGTCGTATTCTATACCATTACGAGTTTCATCGCTTTTAATTATGATCAAAGTAATAATGTTCAGAATATGGATCCTTGGTTATATTCTGAACTTTCCCAAAAGCAATGCAAGGAGTTGTTTTCTTTAACTTCAGGTATGAGGAATGAGATTTATAAAGAGCTTACTAATTATCTTACTACTATTTTAGAAGAGTTATATGTTGAGAAAAACCAAGAAACAAATGAGATTGATGAATTAGCACTTCTTCAAAGTCAGATGGGATGTATAAAAAAATGCCTAGTTTGTAAAGTGTTCAATATTGACAATAAAAAGCAGATCTGCCCTATGTGTCATAATAAATTACCAACAATAGCTGAGATAAATCAACAATTAAACGAGCCATCTAATATCATCAATACTACTGAAAAATCACTAGATATTCGTTCTTATATGTTTGAAAAAGCATGATCAATTCCGGAAAGAGAAGTCTATACACCATAGTTATTTATTCCTGATCCGATAAAAATTAACCCAAATTCGATTGTTAATATTTGAAAGGGTTTTGAGCATATTGAAGAAATATCTGGAGTTAAAGATGGTAGCCGTAAATGTGTTGTGGTTACCTGTGATGGATTACCGTATTGTCATATACAGAAAATCAAAAAAGATTTTCCCTGGCTTATATTAATTCTGGGTGTTCTTCATAAAGAGATGAATATGTTAAAAGTGTTCGTTGAATTAAATTAGGATATTGATATTAAAGAATTTGCTCAATGTCAGGGGTATCGGAATAAAATCAACTGCAGTTTTTTAAAAAATGTTCTGACTATCATAAGTCATGGGATTCTATATGCAATATATACAAGCACGCAATAGCTTTCAAATTAATGTGGCCATATGTTATTTCAGAAGAAAATCCTTCTGTTGAAGGTTATTTAGAATGGGCTCAAAATCAAACCATCCCATATTTAAGTTAAAGTATAAACAAGTTTTTTTTTATTTACAAGCAATTATTAACTTTCGTACTGGAGTTCGTTTTAATAGGCCTTCATTAAGACTTGTGGCAAGATGAATGTTTGCACCAATTTGGTCTGCTCGGTGACATCCTATTTACCGATTAATTGAAATTGCTGACGAGGAACAAATGTTACAGTTAAAACCTAAAATTTACAAGTTAATTCAAGAAAGAATTGTGACATTATAATCTAAACTTTCGAATCAACATTAAGGCCACGATGCAATTCTTGAAAAAATTAACAAAGCACTCAAATCGTTAATTCCTTCCATATCTTTACAATGGCATTGGGAAATTGCAGCATGTAATTGTACTAAATTCTTGAAATTGCATACTAATCTTTTTAATGTAATAGGATATTCTGAAAGTGAAACTCACAGCCCTCGTATACATCCTAGTTTTGTTGCTGAATTATGTTGATTTCGGACTTGGTTAAGAAAAACACAATTTGTAAACCCAAATAATCATAAACATGTTTTTCAAAATATAAGTGGAGAATGGATGCTAAGTAAAGAAATGAAAAGATTTAGTGAAATTGCATATATGAAAAGAGTAGAATTTATTAAAGCAAAGTTAATTGAAAAAATATCATCAGGCATTTGGAGACCAATTCCAATAACACTTGAAGAGGCAAAACATCAGAAAGCTGAAAGTTTATTAACAAAACCACAAATTTTATCTATTATTAATTCTTTAACCTCTTTTTTAGGTGATTTAGAACGATCATGTTTTTGAGGCTTATCAAGTAAATCCTGAGACAACTTATTAAATATTCTTCAGGAGATTAGAAATATATTATCCGAAAATAATATAAAATACTAGTAAAGAAGAATAAGGTGAATTTTGACTAGGGATGTCAACGGTCACGATCGGTCACAAGAAAATTTCCAAATTTTGAAATAATTTTTTCTACACAAGTTATTAATTAAAGTTGTATATAAGTAAATTCTAGTCATATTTACTTATAAGACAAATCTCAAATACTTTCTCTAGAATTCAAAACTCTGAAATTCAACATCGGTCATGTATTGGTCATGACCGATGTGTGACCAATACTAATTTTTTAAAATCTTGAATTCTAGAGAAAGTACTTAAGATTTGTCTTAAAAGCAACTATGACCAGAATTTACTTTTACATAACTTTAATTAATAACTTGTATAGAAAAAATTATTTCAAAATCTGGCAATTTGCTTATGACTGATGTGACCAATCATGACCATTGATATTCCTAATTTTGACTAAGTTAGAAGTAGCATAGTGAAGACTTATATATGCTTCGCATTTATGTAATTAGTATAAAATTTTTTATTTATAAATAGTACAATTAATTGACATTAATAAAAAAGATATTTAAATAAAAACTTTTTTAACATAAATTTTTATTTTTTATATATGTTATTAATAAGAAATAGGGCAGGCTGGTAATTTATTGTAGAGATTTGTATTATTATTTTCTATTATT